AGTTACAGGGTAGCCTACGATGTTCCATCATGTCCTTATTTAAACACTGTATATGTACCTTTGATGATTTATATTATATTTATTCAACAGTGTTAACGGCTAACTCCCTTCAATATTATATATATATATATATGTACATATGTATATACTGTATATGTATATATTTATATATGTGTATATATTTATATATGTGGGGGTGTGTGTAATCCCCATTTACCCGCAGTTTTTCAGCATTTAACAAACTATATATTTTACATATTAACCGTTCCCAAGTTTTTTTTTTCCGTCGAAAGCCCCCAAGGGGTCTTAAGATTAAGCAGGTGCACAACATATCAAAAGGGCTGTCGTTAACATTAACCATCACATTAACACGTTAGAATCGTATCACCTTACCTTGACAATAGGTTCCTTTAAACCCTGGGTCGCATACACAGGTATGGTTTGAGGTGCAGTTTCCGCCCTCACAGTTGAGAATGCACGTTCCTTCAGGATCCACTAAAGTTAAACCAAACCAATAAAGATGAAATCCAATGGAAATCCTAAAATGTAATAACTACGGTAACTTAATTAACTAACAAAAAATTACCTACTCATTTTAAGTACTTTCAAAAATTTAAAAGTGTTCGTGTACAATGCAAAAACCAATCCAGTAACAACTTGCAATATAAACTAAAACTACATATAAAAGGCCCTATTTTTTTTTCAATTTTCCTTTATGACTATTTAATTTGTTGGTTAGGTTTAGGTGTGTCTGTGAATCCTACGAGTCTCATGTATCTTTAATTTAAATGATGTTTATGTGCAGCCACCTGAACAATGAATTAATTACGTTTATGGTAATTCCGTGTGGTCGAGGCAGATACTAACTAGTATATTTATGTGTAACGGGTAAAAATAAATCTGCGAGTGGGGAAGAAATCGCGCCGAGCGGGATTCGAAACCGGGATCGTCTGCTGTCTGCAGACGCCTTAACACCTAGGCCACTGTCGCATTTTATTAGTATTGCTAATTATATAGCAAGTCCTACCTTCTTCACAGAATGTGCCTTGGAATCCTGGAGCACATATACATACATTGCTTGGATCAGATGTCAATTCCGTTAGACAATCTCCTCCGTTTTGACATGTACCACTACTACATTCGATGACTAAACAAAAACATATATAATTTTAATTCTAGAATTAAATATACCAACACAATAATTTTGAATTATCTATTATCATAATTGGGATGTAAGAAAATACATCCTGTAAGCCCGGAAACCGGTCAGAGAGATAATCGACCATGCCAGTGATTTGATGCATTTGAATTTGTACTGTTTTATGTTACTTGATTTGGAATAAATTACTTTTGAATTCAATTGAATTGAAACCGAGAGGAGAGTACATTTTTACGGCCTCACTTTGGGTTACAGGAAAATAAAAATTAGATACTGTAAATAATTATGAAGTATACAGACTTCTTCACATCTCTCACCAATAGTGGCCGTGCACTATAATCAATATTCTATAATCAATTGACGTTTACAGAATGTCAATCAAACCACTGACAACAACTGACCAATCAGGGCACGCGTGCTTATGTACGTTTACACTCATGCCGTTTTGTAGGACCCTTAGAAACAGTATCCAAGAGGTGGATCTTGCGGGGGCGGTCCATTTGAAGACGGGCTGAGAGCGGCAAATAAAACGAGTAACAATGTTATGACCATACAGGTCAATATATTCATTATGATAGCTTTGCCCCATGGAACCATAAACGATTTCTTGAATTCATAGTTTAGTTTCAAGAGCCCACAAAATGTGTACTCCCGATAAACTTCAAGCAGAACCTTTTAACATTAGAAAATCAATGTCATGAAATGGGTACGCTTTAAAAGTTTTTAACTATGTACTCAATAAATGAACCTAAATATATACATAGGCCTACTGATGATAACTTGATTAAGATCTGGGTTAGATTGCCTTATCTAGGAAAGGCAGGTGAATCCATTTTACGTAGATGCTTAAACAAAGTAAAGAAAAACTTAGTTAAAGAGGTAAAATTCATAAGTTTATGGCAGTACAAAAATGTCTCTCACTTTACAGGTATATCTACTAAAAATCAAACCCAAAGGAATATAGGAGCTCTGTTATATTGGTAAGACAGATAGATGCTTAATAACTTAAATAACATCCTTCGCGATCTGATAGTGTTATAAATGATCATATACAAAATTGTGAGGCATTCCAATATGTTTTAGGTTTACAAGGTATACTTGAAAATGATAATGTAGCCTGCAATGTAAGTAATAACTTAGGTTTAATATTTTCTGATACTAACATTATTGACAGTTCGCAAAATTGGTCTATACTATTGTTTAAAGAAGTGCTTGCTATACGTAGGCTACACCCATTGCTTAACACAATGGGCTTAAAGCTTCAAAGGAGCTTTCTTTGTTTTTGTAGGTAGCTATGATCAGTAGGGTAAGAATGCTTTGATCTTTAGTTTATTCATAGCTATGTCAGCGGCCACTAGGGGTAATGTTTTGATTGGTCAAACACTTTTGGTACTTGTGCATAATATATAAGCTTATATGGATAATTTTTCATTCCTGATGATGACATAATTAATGTCGAAATATTGAATCCCGACACGATGGCGTGCATTTCGATACTTGGAGTAGTGGGCCTATGTATTATACTATGTTATGTTTCAATAGACCTTACCTGGGTATCAATCAAACTAAAGTTGTCTACACTATCAGATTTTATGTGACAAATAATGTGATGTGCACATATACTGTATAGGTTTGATGACTATAAGAAAAAGTTGAACGACTTCAACCCTTATTTTCCATCACATTTTATGTGGCGCTTTTTTCATGAATTTGATAGTGTAGACAAAGCTTATGAACTGACAAATTAGACACGTGTTATGCTGCGTTCATTAGAACTTGTGAAAACTGATTTCACAACATGTCACATGCGAGTACACAAGAAGAGTGCATTCATTTGACGAACGCTAAATGGCTGCTGTCACTTTTACAATGTGTTCGAAAATAAAACATACAAAAAAAACTTTTTTTTAAATCAAATAATATTACCTAAACAAATTTCAATAAATATGTTGGGTTGCAAATAAAACATACAAACAAAACTCTTTTTTATCTGAAATAATATTACTTAATAAACAAATTGCAATAAATACCTATGCTCGTTGTGCATAGTTTGTGTTACACTACTTGTGCAAATCGAGAAAGAGAATTCTACTGAGTTCACAACATGTGTTGACAAGTTCACTAACGAGATGAACGCATTTCACAAGTTGTGAACTGGGAAACACCGACTTCACAAGTTCTAATGAACGCAGCATTATTTATCCCACAAACTCACGTGTGTGCGTTTGTTTTTACACCGTCGTCTTGCGGGACCTTAGCAACAATATCCAAGGGCGGGGCTTAGCGGAAGGTCAGAGTTCATGTAAATACAAAAAGCAATTCACCAATGACAATATATTATTGCACTTACTTTCGCACATATCTCCCGTAAAACCCATTGGGCATTGGCATGCAGCATCGATACATTCACCCCCATTCTTACAATAGGTTGGGTCATTAATACATCCGATGTCTATAATTGTAGGATAAAATAAGAAAGATGGTATTTAATCCGTTAAAATTACATAATAGTTTATTACGTCATTTTACTACAAAGTAAAAACAAACAAAAAACAATCTAAATAGATTATTTATTATTAAAATGTAAATGTAATTAAAAATGTATACCTACTACTCAGTGTATGTATCTTTAACCTTTACAGTATATACATACTATATATATAGTGTGTATGTTTATAGACGAATGAAAGTATCTAGTATTTAGTACCAGCCTTAATGCAAGATAACGATTTTTAAACATGTATATACACAACGTATTGCATTGTGTTTAATTTCAGTTGTTATAGTTCTCTTAAATATAAAATCACAAGACTGAAGACAGATTTTCTCTACTGTTCCGTTTAAAAAAAAAAACTATATTGTTTGCATAATGTGGCCGTTGTTTTTATGGGTTTATCCCGTATATATATATATAAGGCCTACATTTCATTTGTGTTCCACGTGGGTTCCGACAGAATATAGAAAAAATGAAACAGCTTCAATAGTGGACTTTAAGAACACTGATTCAGTGATTTATTAGATATTATATATTTATTAGATATTATATATATATATTATTAATGATATTAATGACAATAATAATGATAAAACATTAATAACAATTATATCAGTATTTATTAATCATCACCATTATTGTAAACATACAATAATGGTATGATGATTAATAAATACTGATAAATTCAAAGTGTCATTTACTTACTTTCACATACATCTCCACTGAAACCAGGCTGACATTGACATACAACGCCCTCGATACACACGCCGCCATTCTTGCAGTATCCCGGAGGGCTACAATCCACTAAAAAAAATATAAATAAAATCTAATTTAAATATATGCAAATATATAATAATTAATTCATTTCCAGGTGGAGGTAGGCATACCACCATTGTGTCTTGATTCAATACTACAATTGATTATTTTATTCCTCAGGAATCTTATCTTCCAATACATCATCTGTGTATAGGCCTATACCATTTTATCGAGTCTAGATTGAAACAGCGCCGCCAATTTTGTAACAGCGCAGCAGCCAACAGAATATTTCGCTAATTACTGTATGTAAACATTGAAATAGCTATTTAAGAACCACAGAATATTTTGACAAATCAATTCAGATGACGGCATAATCATGGGAAAACGATAAAATCGTTGTTACTACTACGATTTCATCGTTTTTGCATGATTATGACGTCATTTAAAATGATTTGTCAATATTTTGTTATTGTATACACGATAAATCATATCGTCCTGTGTAAAACTTCTTATTTATTTTATTTTCTATATGAACAATTGCCTTTTAGCTTTTTATCGTTATCGTTGCAAGTATAAACAGGCCTTAATACACGAGGTCACGAGTGATAGCTGGTTCTACCACATAACTCTACTAGTATCCTAGTACAGTACAGGTATGCTCTGTACGATGTCAAAAGTAAGTTCTATGTAGGTAGGCCTAGAAGTTTGATTTCACTAAATTTGACAATTTTAGGCCTAGGAAGACACTGATTTCAATGTGATACTAGGCCTATTAGATAGTATTAGTATTAATTATTATTGTTGTTACGTGCAGGCTACTTTCATTTTACGAATTTGTAAGAAAATCAGTTTATTCTTTTATGAAAAGGATATATGCTTCTGAAAACAGCCTGGTTAAAGGTGTTGTCAAGTCCGTATTACAGTGTATTACTCGACTATGTTTTCCAAATGGAATACATTTTTGTATTGAGCAGTCTGTAATATTATTGATCTTTTCCATTTTTGTATTTGTTATGGAGGAAATTCCGAAATAAAAAAGTTGATTGTTGTTACTACAGTCGGATACAGTCGGATGTACCTGTTAACCACTGTTTGTCGGTGTTTAAAACTGCACGTGAAAGTTGCGATAGTGTTGGTTACTATTTCTCTGTTTCGGATATTTATTTTAGCATTGGTTGGCTTACTTATACTGCAGTAGAAGAGATTTTGCTACATATGTTCTTTTATCTACAGGTACAGCGCATAGAGACCACGTATGCGCTATATAAGTCTCCAACCTATTAAATACTGTATGCTCGTAGCAATATTTTATGTCGGTTACAATGAATAAAATCGAATAACTTTCTGCCAACCTACAGTAGACCGGAGTTGGTTACTGCGAAGTATACAATACAGTAGGCCTGTGTGTTATCTATAACAACATACTGTACTGTGTATGGTCAGTGATTCCAGATTTGGAAATTATGATGAATTCCAAAGTAGATAAATGGGGACTTATGCTTTATTTTCAGTGGCGCCGCAAATGGGGGAGGAGGAGCGTTCCTCCCCCACTGCCCCCCTCAGTGTTCTACCCATAATATACCGTAGTCAAGTATTCTCTTATCACGATCAATACCATTATTGTGTTGATATTTCTATTTCTTATTAATATTACATTGCTTCATGTAAGTATTTATGATGCCGCGTGTAACATGGCGAAAATTGCAGCTTGTAGGCCCTACTTTTCTCCAACATTTTCCCCCTAAAATGTTATCTTTTTCCCCTCAGATTTCAGACGTTGGCGCCGCCACTGTCAGCTTAAAAAAGAGGTGTTGAACTACAGGTACTGTAGCTGAGAAAACGTTTGTAATAACAAAGCTCATATATCTGGTAATGTGCCTTCTTCTATTGGTTCCCTTCCGTATCAATATTATTGTTTATCTCCATACACAAATACACAACTACCGTAATTTTACAAAACGTTTTGAAATTACATTAAAAGGATGAAAAAAACAAAATGTTAACAGTGTTTCATTTGTAAACTAAACACTGTCTTAGTTATAAATATATTTTGTTATATATATGTGAGAAGAAGTAGATTTGTTCCTTAATTGGTACGGACAAGATTTACTGTATGTGTGTGTTCCTGTTTCGATTATGCCAGTCAATTCAATTACAGTTTAGTACTGTATATTTAACGTCCGCTTCAGAAATTATTTCTTCCGATTATTTTCTTATCATTGTTCACAGGTGGCGGATTTAGAATTTTTCAAACGAATGGGGTTTTGGGGAGGGAGGCGCAGCAGTTTCAGAATAGATAAATGAGAGCACATGTCATTGATATGCATTGAAATTTTTAAAATTTAGTGGCAAAACGGGGAGCACGTGGCCCCCGTGCCCCTACTGGATCCGCGCCTGGTCCATTGGTCGTCGTTTCTATACTACCTTGGCCTCCATGCTTACAATAAGTTAATTACAAGACATGCGTGAAGTTCTCCTCGTTGCGTGGATTTTAAGACGCAATTTGGTCAAATCATGGTCAAATATACGTATTCCGAGAACGTGGGCCGGACGCCCAGTAGGACGTTCACGCATGAGTGATTCCGTTCTAGATTCGCGTTGTCGAAAGCTCCCTAATAATCGGGGGAGAATGCTATCATCCCTCACTCGTTTCTCTTTTTTGGGCTTAACAATTTTCTTTTTTGTGTTATTAACATTATGGATTATCACGCTATATCCTCTTTCCATTGAAACGCAATAACTGTAACTGTACTGTAGCTAATGGGCATTTCCAGAATGTCAGTCAAACTTAACGACTGACCAATCAGAACAGGGTCATGAATACGCGCGTGTCCTACAAATGCTCAATCCAGCCCATAGACGCACGTGTATGTACAATGTTCACGTTACTTGTTTTGTGTGACCTTAGCCATAATATAAAAGCGGCAGGGTTTAGTGGAAAGGTCCATGAATTGAGAGAATCTCAATTTATTTTTCCATAACTGTAGTACTGTGATGTGTTTGTAAGATTTATATTTCGACAGTAACATTTTATATTGCATTGACGATTGTCAATTCCACAGTTAATCTGTCCGTCCTCGTAACGTATAATTATACTTTGATTAAGTGTTGGTAGCTTGACCGCCGCCATGGTCGATGACCACTACAGACTACCGTACCGGTTAAAATTCCAAGAGGTACAGTAATAAGATGTATATATTTGTATCCTATTCGATTATGTTGTTCTCAAGTATCTGGGAACGTACTGAGCATTCATTATGATAAAACGTCAGGTACTGTAGGGCAAAACAGCAATTCTATCCTATTAAATCTCCTGGGGAAAAAAAACATCGAATAACATTTGCAGTACCCGCTGCTACCTTTGGGACCAGATTCAATACTTAGTGACTAAGCGCAAGCTCAATGGTCTAGTGTTTAGGATGTGTATAAGAGACAGATATATATCTGTAATTGTACTTTATATTAATGGTATTCTTTTAAAGTTACAGTATTTGTTGTTCCTTTGTTGTTATTGTGTTTCGTATATTGTTCGTATTACTCATCTGTATTTCTGACCCAAGAAACAAATGGTGAATAAATCGAACCTTAAACATAAATTCAGATTGAATGAATTGAATGCTGTATTACTAGGGCTATGTAGCTTCGCTTTATAGACGAGTTTTTTTTTTGTTGGAAATAGGCCTATACCGACATAAAAAAGAACATAAACTTAACTAAAAAATACACAATATAAAACAAGGTGCGGATACTAGTATTATTATTACTTATTGTTATGACACCATGTGTAGGCATACAGTGGACTCTCCGTAAGCTACAGTACTGTATTTCTAATACTCAAGCTATCTCTGACCTACAGTAATAATGTAGAATGAAGGTCAAACAAATAAATATAATACGTTAAGTAAAATACATAAACCTATATATTGAGCTTTCACATAGTAAACTTGACCGATATTCATCAGTTGTGCATAGGTAGAAAGCCACAGAAAAGAAACACAAAGGACGCTACGTTAAATTGTAGAAACACCAGTCGGGTGGATCCGGGGTGGAATACTATATGAATAGGTTGGCTAGCCACCCCACCCTTCCCCAATAAAAGCCCTGTAGATTAAGACAAGCCTTTCTTCAGTTTCGCCCATATGTTTCTGAAGAGTTTGTTATGATGACTCTGGAGGGACAAACGAGCTAATAGCTCTAGTCCTAGGTTCAAGGTAATTCAAGATAATTTCGACCAAAATACTACAGGTAGAAACAAATATTAAGTCAAAGTTTAATTTGTAATACTGTATAGCATCTATAGCAGTGGCTTACGTTTTACAAAATAATCTACAAAACAATTTAGGGGGACATCATACGACTCCTCATTTTACTCTTCAACTTTAAATTGTAAACGCATGATGCAAATTAAAAAGAGTAGGCCTATTAGAATTGTAAAACGTCTTAAAATTTTAAATTAATTTATTTTGAAATGTTAATATACAGTTCACATTCCAGGATCATAACAAAATTCAACATTGAATACATCACATATTTGATCCAGATGTTTTTTTTTTGGTTTTTTTTTAATATAAAAATATATTTGTTATTTTATATTATATATAACACATGTTGTTTGCTTTCCCATACCCTCATTACTTTTAAGTCAATACGCGTATTATTATAATTATCCTACAGTATATTAAGATTTACATTATTCAATGAATCGAATTTACTGAAAACATACAAGTTATTTTGTTTCTGAATTGTAATTACAAGGCAGAGAAATTGAATTAAGAAAGAAAATATAAAATGTGTTCCATATACATCGCGGCCGAAAAGCGTAGGCCTAACCGCCACCTACTGTATCCCCTAATAAACCGCTTTTTGAGCCTAGCCACTTCTTCTTAAATCCTAGATCAGCTATACACTATTTTTAAACAAATTATAGGAGATGTATAACTAAACAGTAGATCTGAATAATATAAAGAACAATGTAACTGTTGAAATCAGGCTGACTACACTTCATGATCTGAATACAGTACAACATGGCATCATTCTTGGACTCTATTTTGCTCTGTGTAGTCAATGAACTATAGAATTAGAAGTAGGCCAAAGTATTAGGCTTAAGTATATAGTTAAGCCCACGCCCGATAAAAAGTTAGGCCTGTTTGTGCAATGTGAAATCTTACCTGGTGTTACAGTTGTTTGCGGGTTTGTAGCCGCTAGTGTAGTTTGACATCGGCTTTTCTGAATGCTAATAAAACAGACGATAAAACTAATAAAAATCCTAGGTAGTTTGTGCTTTTTAGAAAGCATGGTTATCAGTTATATCCGCTTGTCCACTTGCGTCTTCAGAGAAAGGAATGCCTTTAATGTACTCATCATCAACGGTGTGCCTGTAAGTCCATCCCAATTCATGGTTCAGTTAACACAGAATAATTTACACAATGGAGGGCTTATCACGCTAACCTTGGACGATCATCAAAGTATTATGAATTTGTAAATACAGTACAAGTATTAAATTTTAAACACAACTCAGTTCAATTTCCTTAACAATATAATGTCATTTCATTTATTTTGTCATTAGAAAAACCAGGGAGTTGTTATAGTTATAACAACTCCCTGGAAAACATACAGTTAGGACACGAGAAAATAAATAAAAATATACAGACAAATCGTGAAAAGCCGACGAGATAACCAAAAAGCGAAACAAATCTGTCAAGTGGTTCTAAAAGATTAAAAACTATACAAACAATAGGCCTAAAAATATTCGTAAATGTAGTAAATATAGACCTAAATATAAATTAAATATTCTATAATTCAGTATGTAAAATGAAAGATTTAAAAATAAGAAAATTGGGAACGAAAATGTTAAAACACCTACTGCTCTACTTAATGAAACCTTATCTTTAAAAATGGTATGAACAACACGGTATGATCAAAATATAAAAACGACAAAAGCTAAACAGTATAAGAAAGAAAAGGGGAAAATAAGGCGGCTCGCGAAAGGTGTGGTGGGTATATATGCAATATAAATAAGCCTAATACATTCATGCTTATATAATATGATGGTGCTTGTTTTTGTGTTTCATTTCATAGTACGTATTTTTTTAATAATGTATATTCTTGTATTTTCGTTAATTCTGTATTTCTACTACCCAGGAAGTTGATCAATATATCCTTGTCTATTATTTTTTTAAGATGTAGAAAAACACCAGGCCAGGATATGATTGACTGACTGTGGCATACAATGATCGATGATGGTTTGTCGGCCTAGGATTTCTTCCACATTTAACTGATTAAATATTAGACCCTTGTTCTCAACTCCCGTTTTAAATTTTGATTCTTAGATGATACCTCGGGAACACTCGGACATATCTGTTCCGCGTTTAGTTTTGTAGGTCAATATTGCATCTATGAACACCTTAAGCTTTTAACATTCTGCATTAAATTTATGCGTCGAACATTTTGAAATTAAAATTTTAAAAGTTAAAAAATGTGCAACCAAATTAATAAATTCGGCTTTACAATTAAACAAAATAATTAATAAAATAAAATGTTTAAAAAAAAGGATAGTGAATGTAAAAAGAAAAATACTTGAATTTTTGTGATGAATATACATTACAAATAATATTTACAGTAATTCTTTTTCGGGCAGTACTGTATAAACATGAAATTCACAAATACGCCATTATATTACTTTGTCATTGTTTACTTAAAGTTGAATGTTATCATATAAAGTACTTCACTGACTGTGCTGATTTCCATTTTGTATATTGAAATAACCAACTTCCTTACTGATGCAATGACCGGAAATAAATCGTGTCAATGCTGACAAGAATATGGTGGTTGTAGTACGATAGGCTACTCAGCCACGATGATCGTGTTCACACATTTCCGATAGAGATATTTTGCGACTTGTACATATTACCATGGTTATGTATACACTGGCTGAAATTGCCTAAGAAATAAGAAAAATTGAAGCTGGAAAAAAATTTGACAAGTGTATTACAGTCCTGTACATACTGTTGTTACTCTTATGACAACTGAAATTAGCCAAAATATAAGAACCTGGGAAAATGTTACTGGTTCTTTATTTTTTTTTAAAATAATTATAATGTGATGCTACAACAGATACTCAATGATTTGTAATTCATCTAGCTGATCAGTGGTGGATTCAATAGGGGAAAATTAGGTAAAAGAAAATAATTAGTCTGAGAGTGTCATTTACGGACATCTAGAGGTGCCATAACATAATCATAAATTCTCATACTTCAGCCCCAACCATGGTGTGGCTGAGGTGGTCTACGCCTATACCCTCTATCTGTCAAAGTCTCTCTCTAATTGGCCCCATCTATTTCAGTGGATCCGTTACCGCTGATTATTCTATTATCCTCATTGTACTATCATCATGGAACTATAATTTATTACCGGTATCCCTACTACTATGGATTCCAGTACGTTTTAAATATTTTCCTGTGATACCAGATTTTTATCTTGTGTCGTACGACCAGTTACGACGTACCTATATAGTGTAAATTGTAATTAAATCTACAAGTAAGGTGAGTTATCTTTATTGTGTTGTAAAATAATAAATATAACTGTGGTGATAGTCTCGTATAGGAATCGTTGATTGATAAGATTTAGATAAGATTCATTAGTTCACGCGTTTATAACAGAGAAGAGGAACATTCTCGCGCAGGAGATGGTTCTACCCATTCATCACTTTAGAACAAAATATAACAAATTAATTATAAACAATATGAAATCAATGGTGACAAACAACAAAATTATATATATATGTATGTATACTATATTAGTAAATAGTAACTAGTAAAAAAAAAACATTGTTCGCAAAAGAAATATTACACTTAATAAAATAAAAAAAACTTACGGTAAATAATGGTTGAGTGGGGGAAAAAAATTAAAAAGTAAATAAATAAATAGTTTGCGTATTTTGTATATACCAGCTTGGAAATAAACTAAATATATTAAAAATCGTCGGTTGGTAATAATACAGCTGAGATAGATAAATAAATAGGATTATGTAGGGCATTTTTAAGTGTTATGAAACAACCTTGGAAGAATTCGTGACCTTCGTGGTTTTGCTTGGGTGTTTAGTAATCTTCGTATCCTTGTATGACTCACGTGATTTGAAACAATATTAGATTTTAGACCCTGAATACGGTAATCCACACTTTACCGGCGCTGTTGTCCATGGAACAAAATCAGAAAATATAGCTTTAACTGGACCGTGACAATTTGCCCAGTCAACCCACACCAATTCCACGTTCTGTCTATGGTTACTTATTTGGCATTGGATTACACTTTGTTTCATTAGAACACAAGCTGAAATTGCTTAACATGTATACAGAACGAAATATGAACAAATAGAAGCCAAAGTATGTCAAATGATTACAAAGCATCGAATCTTATCTGTACTGCTGTGTGCTCAGCAGAGCATGAAACGCCTGTTTACACAAAGTATAACACGTTTTACGAACTTTTTATTCGTTGAAGCTCTTGCAACTTTGTAGTAGGCCTTCGAATTGCAAACAAATAAAAATAAAATCCGTGTCACTTATGCTGATGAAAACTGCAGTGGATATAAACTTTCTATTCTAATAGATTGTGTTCCAAAAATCGTGAAACTGATTTTTATGTTTATAGGTTTGTTCTTAAAAATGGTTCCACGATGCAGACACTAAACGTCGATCCTTTTTGACATTAAATTTTGTTTTGAATAGGTGGTATAGGGCTAGTATTTTATAGACATACAACATACAAATATATCAAATAAAACCTTAACATAATAAGCGTAACTGATTTGTTTACGGTTTACATAATTTATACTTTACACAGTGGTTGTCACTGTTGTATATTTGCCCATATGAGTACTCGATGATTAGATAGGCTGCTTATTAGGCTTATTTTCTTTTAGGTTTTTCATATGTTCATTTCTGTCTTAATCTTCTTCTGTAGAGGTTTGATTGTACGTCACAATTACGTCATATTTACGTCATATATTACGTCAAATTGATTATTCCTTCCAAACCCCTTTGCAATTCAACGGAATCAGAATCATCTGTGTTAAATCTGTGGTGTTATGGAATACGACTAACTTTTCCCAAGCCAAACATCACAAAATAATAACGGAAAACTGGCAAATGCGTGTAATAGTACCAGAATTAAGTGGAAATCCGGATTCGAATCAGGAAAGACACTGAAGGTATGGATAACCATGAATATGAACAAGAAAACATGAGGATTATCATTGTCGGAAATACCATCCATTTTGCAATAGAAGACCGTAAGATCCAGTTGTAAACTGCAGAATGTTTTAAAAGGAACCGTAAAAGAAGAAAAATACCCAGAGCGACCGCTCACTGATCCACGCGTTAAGGCCGATTTTCCTCTAGGCGACTTTATTCGTGCGAATCGAAAGCGTCGTTCATGCGCATGCGCATTCACATTTCTATCGGAGTTTTCGCTTCGCACAAAAAAATCCGGTTTTCCACTTTATTTGCGCGAATCGAAAGCATCGGTACATGCCCATTCACATCCCTATGAGAGTTTTTACGAAGCGAAAAAGCGCGCAACCAATGAGATCTGAGGAAGCGAACCGACGCTTTTATTCGCGCGAATAAATTCGTCTAGTGGAAAACCAGCTTAAGCCTGTCTTCTACTAGGCGAATTTATTCGCACGAATCAAAGGCCTCTGTTTGCTTCTTGAGCTCTGCTTGGTTGCGCGTTTTTTCGCTTTGCAAAAAATTGAATCAGATTTCGCTGAAACAAAAAACTTCGATAGAAATGTGTGAACGTGCATGCGCTTGAATCGGCGCGGAAAAAAAAAACGCCTATTGGGAAACAGACTTTAAAATGAGTTTAACTCTATTCATTTTTATTATTGGGTGTAAAGGCTGTTTTCCGTTAGGCGAAATCGAATTGCGCATTTTCGCTTATACACATATAATTACCATTAATTACTACCACTAACAGGACATGTCGCATAAATGGGCAGTCAGTTTTTACGCTGTGTTGTTTACGGGCCGTCGACCGACGAAAGGTCGGTCGACGGCCCGAAATAAAAAAAAACAATCCTTGTTAGAGTTCATGAGGAGAGTAGGCCTATTTATGGATTAATTTTGCTGTTAGACCACAATATTAGGGATGAGAAATCAAAATAGCGTTATTGGGATAGGCAAATTAATATTTATTTTTTTTTATTATTATTCTTGGTCCGTACGACCTAGTCATTCGTCGGACGGTAGGGGATCAAGGCCTGTCCGATGGGTGGGAAAATGCCTCTGCCCCCCCCCCAATCCCGCTGGCGCCACCACTGTCTGAAACCCTGTTTGTTTTGTAGGTGTATAGGGTACCCTGGGTTCCAACTTAAACAGGGCGTTGGGGAACGTTTGTTGGAAATTACCTTTAGATTATGTGTACAAAATTTTCCTGCACAAAACTGGTGACGCTGGACGCTTTGAAAGCTCCGGTTCGCTCGGACATAATAAGTAATTTGCATAAGGAAAAAAACCAAATAACATGATGAGACGAGGTGAAGACTAGCTATTGCACTTACTCGATAATCTTATTCACATAACAAAGACCGAGGATATCTCCGGAAAATGGGAAGCTGTGGTTGTCAAACAACATCGGACTGTAGAGGGCATAAATCAAATCCAGGATAAAATCAGTCCCAACACATTACAATGAATCTGCAGATCAATATATTGTAATAGGCCTATACTGTTAACTGTATTAATCTATATCTAATGCAAGCAAACAATAGTTGTAATAATTTAATGTATATAATTCTGTTTATGTACAAGCTGTTCGACTGCTACTAGGAAGCTAAATGCCATTTGTAAAATAATTAAATCCTATAGCATGGATATTAGTGTAATACAGGTATAGTTTCTTCCATCTGTTTATTAATAGTACCTCTAACCTATATTTTACTATGATTTACATTTTTTTTTTTAAATCATAAATAAAAACACATTACCGAACATTGTTATTCGGTTAAACGGTTAGACCACCGAGCGGTCTTTGTTTGTAGCCTCACAATCAAACATATTGCACTGAGACATCTCCTTTACTAAGTACACGGTTATTTATTCAATATGTACAAGTTATATACTATTAAATTCAAGCTTTAAACGTGTTTCATGCCTGATCAGCTGAATATCTCTGGAAGATATAAACTGGATGTCTCTCTCCAATTTAAACTGGAGGTGTCCCCTGTTTTTAAAACCAACAGGCTTTTTATAGCACTTTGTGTTATTTACTAACTTGTTATTGTTGTCTCAGATTGGCTAAATTTTAAAGAATCACAAACAAAATTCATGTCTCTAATTTGCAGATGCGTATAAGAGACAGATAGAAGACCGTAAGATCCAG